TGCTTGTGCATACATATAGCTTTCATAATGGGCCGATGATCTGCAATAAAGCTACATGTAGCCTAAGTTTCTACCACCACATTACAGATATGTAACACAATTTCTAGCTAAGAACTCTGCACTAAGCTTATATAACAAAGTACCATCATAACTAAGCAGGGCGCCACCATAAGAATATGATAGGATTACAACTTAGAAAATAGCGGCCAGTGGCCATTGCCACGTTAAAAAATTATAATAGGAGATGCGCTTATGCCTGACCAAAAATTTAAGAAGATGCCTATAAGAGCATTTTTCATCAAATGGAACACAGTATCTAAAGGGTTCATATTAGATCGTGGAGGACGGTTTGTTTCTGTAGTAGTAATTGGATCATTTCAAGTAGAGTCCGCACATTCCGTTGGGTGATGCACTTTTACCCGACAACCAGAAAATTGGGGGAAGATGCCTAATCCAATCCATCGGATGAGGCATACTCCATCAGATGGATGAAACAAGGTATCTTAAGGGTTAAGAATAGATTGTGTAGGATTGGGATGGATTGTTTCTTTAGCTGCAATGGCATCCATTCAAGCAGTGATCAAACATCTCAATGGGTGAGGCACTCGCATTGGACCAATGACGGAGGATCCTAAAGATGGTTAGGATGTATCTCTTATTAAATGAAAAGTGGTATCTGAAGGGATGAAAATAGATTGTGGGGGATGGTTTGTTTCTTGACGACTAAATAGCATCAGTTCAAGCAGTATCTGCACATTTCAACGAGTTATGTGTACCGGTATGGACCCGACCACGATATTTGGTGAAGATACTGGTTCCATCTGACGAGGCATCCATCATCAGATGGAACAAGGTATCTAAAGGGTTGAACATAGGTCGCGGTGGATGGTTTGTTTCTTTAGGAGTAATGGATTAAGTTCAAGCAGTATCTGCACGTTTCAACGAGTGATGCGCTTGTACTGACCACCACAACTTCAAGGAAGATAGTCACGATGCCATCCTTTATGAGATGGCATCTAAACGGTTAAAAATAGATCGAGGAGGATGGTTTGTTTCTTTAGGAGTAATAGAATCGGTTCAAGCAGTTTCTGCACGTTTCAACAAGTAATGCACTCGTACTGACCACCAACAATTCAAGGAAGATGGTCACGATGCCATCCTTTATCAGATGGCATCTAAACGGTTAAAAATAGGTCGAGGAGGATGTTTTGTTTCGTTAGGAGTAATGGGATCGGGTCAAGCCTTCTCGTCTATATGCTGTGTGACGTACCACTGGAAACTAGGTCAGTTGGAGGGATGTGTGCGGCAGAGTAAAATGGGCAGAGCAAAACGAGCGTCGTCGTTGTCGTTTACGGAGAAAGGCTAGGTTGTGAGTAATGACATCCCATGCTTAGGGGCATGATCAGTTGAAGGAGAGGATGAGGGGGAGACAGGGAGAGGAGACGGAATAACCCAGATGATCAGTTTTTATGTATTGAGGAAAGGGTTAGGGTAGAAAGTAGGTTTTAGAGTGGCTTCTATCCTATGAATGTATGCCAAAATGACATGGAAATCATTGGTGTGATTGAAAACTTGATGATTAGATGGACTGAAGGTAAATGTCCAGCTACAATTTAGATAAGCCCTCAAATTTCCATTTTTTTTCTCAGCATGACATTTGAGGCAGGCCCCCTTGGTTTTCTTTTCAAAAGCACTAGAAAAAGAACACAAAGTGTAATTATGATATATTGGAAGGCTTGATACTAACTGTCTGAATTTCTGAAGGCAAATGATGCCCTAAAATTTAGAATAGCCGCTTTAAATTTCAACAATAGCACTCTTCAGTAATATGAAGCAGGTTTCTTTTAAAAAATGCTTAGCTTTAAAACAAATCCTTAAATAAGTGGAGCTCTGGTACACACCATTGAACTGTCAAAATCATTATACATTTTCATTTTATGCTACAGTAGGCTAACACACTTGGGCATAGTCTCATACTTTGAAAGAAATCAAACAAAACCTAGGCATCATATTTTTTAATCTGCCTTGCACTTGTGAACCCTATTTTGGAATTTGAAGAATGGGAAAGTTACTTTTGATTTGCTGGCCAAGGTTTGCATTCCAATATACACAACCAATATATCTTATGGGAAATAAATATGACAGCTTAATTGTCAAAGGGCGTAATACACATTTGATACCCTATTATGAGATGAAAAATGAGATAAACAAAGCCCAATGAAACAAATAATTTCAAATTGGAACTTGAGGGTTGTTTTAAAGATGAGCTGCTATTGTTCTACAGTATTTCAAGCAATGATCTTTGACATCACAGAAATTTTTCCTGCTCATTGCTGATACCGATAGAATTATATTTATTAATACCGATTTACCGATTGCAATGCAACAGATTTATAAACACTCTTTGTTTATGACTGACCGGCTAGCTAAGGTGTGTTGCCTGATTGCCTCCATAAATCATTCACTGGATATGATTGACTGCGGATATTCTTTCTATCAAATTGAGTGCATCTGTGCATGCATGTATTTCTGTTGTGATGTCAATCAGCTATATATTAAAGGCTCGGTCTTTGTTAGCATACCAGTTCAAACATCGTACAGTCACAGATTTACAATAATATGGTTCATTAATTTGTGTATTCATTTACATTCTTTTGGTTTCCAAGCATTAACAAAAGTTATTCATCATTTTATAATTTTATTGGTATCTCAGGTTTTTATTAAAATGTTTTTGTTTTTTCTCCTTTAAAGAAACATGTCTATCATAGGGCTACCCACCAATAAATCATACTTGCTTCATTGTTTTGTTTTAGCTTTATTCCTAGAAGACACCATACTTTCATACCAGAAAATAGATTGCAATTTACATGCAGGTAGGCCCCTACATGCACATACACGTAAGCATGGAGTTACTAGATAAAGAATTATCAATAAAAACATAATGGAGGGCTTGAGGGTACCCTTTTGTTGTCATAATTGCCCTTCTAAAAATATATTTTCATTGTTATTCTTTGAGTAACAAACAATGATAAAGAGAAAATTACAAAGGAGTGGAATGAATGATTGATTGAGTAGGTTTTACAGCCATTTTCTCTGCCACACACATTTACCAAGTACGTCCTAAACATGTTAGCATATGTCCCATAGAGAGCATACAGATAAACAAGATTCATTGAATATCCATTACATTACATTTACATCAAAGATCTTATGCCACATAAAATCATGTATATATGCATCACGTTAAAACAGCCTTTCATACAGTAGTTCCCTCTTTCTCTTCTAAAGGACTATATTTAACCATAAAAGCTTTGACCAGCAAATTAGCATGATGCAGTTTTGTCAAATCAATTACCTAGCTTTTTAGTTTTGATTGCTCGAAATAATTTTCACTTTCATACTATTCAGAATATTCAGAAGATATACAATGTCCAAGGCTTTGATGTAGTCTGAGAACATTCAACATTTTTGAACATTTTTCAAATATCCTTAATAGAAACCTATATTTTCCAAGCATCTATCAATGTGCTTGTGATGGGTAAACAACAAACATGACACCATAGGGACAGACGTATCTCCACAATCTTTGGTTCTATGCTCATTAGTGTTAATTACCTGACAGATTGGACCAACAAAACAGATAAACCTCCCCTCGGCTCCCTTCACCCCATGACTCTAGACAATTTATGAATAGCTGTAGGTACAGGTTTAGGAGATCAGTGTAGTTCCTAACAGGTACTAGCAAATCACCCATGAAAATCATGGGCTCATATTATGTGTTATTTTAATACCAGGGGTAAAAATGCCCCCCCCCCCCAAAAAAAAAAAAAAAAAAAAAAAAGAAAGAAGAAACCTGGGCAAGGGAGGGGGGGGGGGAGGGGTAAAATTATAATAATTTGGATGCGTTGAGTTGTGAAGGTGTGATCAGGCATGCAACAGACATTCTTGATGAAACAGTGTAGCTCTCTCATGCAAGTAACATTCTTTAATTTCTTGGAACATGTCTAGATCATGACACATTAAAGCAGCCTTATTTACTACCAGCTTAGAAGATGAACAATTGAACGCATTTAAGAATTAACAATACATGTAATAAATTGGCCAGGCAGACAATGAACACTATTCTTGTCGTGTTGCCTATTTGCGTACAACGAGACGACGCCACATCTGACAGCTTCTCATCAATCCAAGGCAATAAAAACAGCAACACACATGAATAAATTCAACACAACGTACACAGAAAACGTGATATTTTGCACAATATAGAGAACATTGCATCTTGCAGTTCCTAAAAAATACTCTATGGACTATGATACACACATATTTCGTAGTTTTACGCAGAATTATTCTTTTTTTTACATCGATACAAAATAGGAAGGATAAACCAGGAGTACTGAGTGTAATACATGACAAGTTCTGCCATGAACATGCAATTTTTTGAACAACAATGTAGCACAATTATGCCTTATATCTTTCCTCTCATGTTCTCATAGCCATTTCTTCAACTCTTTGATACACAGCATTGATGTTCCGCTCGACTACTCTAGAAGACCACAACATTACTTGTAGACAGGATCAGGGGGGTGTTTCACAAAGATCCTAAGTAGAACTTAACACTAAGTTGGACTTAAAAATTATGGACAGCCATTGGAGCCTTAAAATGAAATATATTCAAAAGCAAAAATTCAAGTATTTTAGACTTTTTATAAATTCCACATCCAGAACATGAACTCTCCTTGATGATAGAAAATATGAAAGATTTGAATCAACATTTTATGCCTTTCAAAATAACTTTTACAAAATATTTTCAAAGATGCTAACGGCTTTCCATAGTTTTAAGTCCAACTTAGAGATAAGTTCAATTTAGGATCTTTGTGAAACACCCCCCTGGAGTATTAACTTCCGTCTTTTTAGTCACCATGAACTCTGCATCAATTATCTGTTGGAAATTATAAGGACACATAACCAGGAGTGTCAATGAAACTGTCATCAATTTTTTGAATCGGACTTTAACTGCAAATTAACAAATTAGAAGAAAACAAATTATTTCCCACGTGAGTGAACTTTTTGAGAACTAACTTGTCAACACCGGAACCATCCTCACTATTGAAAGGGGTTGTTATTTATCAAGCCTAAATGAGCTCCGTCCAAGAGACTTACATGTCTCTAAAAGCAAAATGCAGTTTTAAGTCTGAAACAAAAATACCCTCATGCATCACATTCCGCTTTGCAAAACTGGAAAGTATTTTGATTCTAAATTCTCCCTACTCTTTCGCCTCCATCCTTATACCATCCTCATGTCTTCTCCATATTTTGTCTCATCAAATTTTCAAGAGCAAATTAAATTTAGTACGGGTATGAGTTGATTGCACGGAGCCACGGAGACTCCTTATATATCGTCCTCACAAACTCATCAAATATTCATGAAGATGCTAATGTGCTATCGGGCAGATGTGTGCTCGCGACATTAATACACAACGTTTGCATACTTATTGTTTTCGCCTGGTTACTTAGCAACTCGTGCGTGAGTGGGCGTGCTGTTAGTGGTAGGTGATTATTTTCCCCTTCATGCATCAGCGCATAGACGATCGCTCGCCTACCAATCATCATATGCTACCCATTTCTCACTTGTAATTCTAACAAGAATTATCTCTATCTTCCTACTCAGGCTGGAATTAAGGTCAGAGTCTATCAAAATAGCTGAGGGGGTGAAAAAGCCTGTTTCGCTTGACAATTTCCAAAACAGAGAAAATTATGTCAGAGCTTATTTTGATCTAGGTCAATCAATTCTGATCTGCTCTAAACACTTATTTCTGTATCTGCTTCTCTCAGTATTATAGTTAATCTACATTTAAAATGCTAGGTAGAAGCTAACCAAAAAATTTGTGCTTTATATCAAATCTTCATTTTTTTTAATTGCCAATTTTATTTTTTCAAGAATAACTTTGAAAACATCCAAAGCAAAAGATAGATGGAAAATTAAACAAATTAGGTCTGGGGATTACCAAAATGTAAATTAAAATCATCTTCAACGAGGAATAACATCCATAAAAAGAGTGAAATGTTATTTTTTATAAAGGTGATACGTTGTCTTCTGTTAGGGCTTGTTGACAACACAAGTTTACATGCATGCTTCATTGAATAGATACCATGATTGAACAGGAAGTACTTTACTAGACTAGCAATATCGGATTCAGTCTGTAGATATCAACTCAAGCTTCACTATAGTACCCCATTCACATGTTGTATGGTGGGATAACAGCATTGTATTAACATAAAGATGGTTTCTGAGGTCGATCTGTTCAAACAAATAAGTTTGAAAATCACCTCCAAAAATACACACAAAGATATAACTGTCTGAGTGCTGCTTTCAAAAAGGCTTCATAATGTGAAACTAAAAATGCTATTACCGTACATTTCATGCTACTTGTTGTTACAAGTTCAGAACTACTGGATTGAAACTGAATTAAGGATGGAGACTGAAAGTGATTTCCAAAGCTACGCAGGTTAATTGGTCGTATTAATTAAACAAGCCATTGGGGCTGAAAACTGAGTGCCAATATTGCATGGTGATTTCTCCCACATCATAAAAAATAATTAATCATAAAAACTCTTTGTTCATATCAGATCACTTGTGCGAAATTGTCTTCCTCAAAATACAGTTTCATGAGTACCTTTACCATTTTCCAAGGGCATTTTGAGAGTCCATACATTTTTGCACAGAAAAAAAAATTCTGTATGATAATAAAATGCTCTAACGATGCTTTGAGAATTATGATAATTGACAGTACTTAGTCCTCTATGAACAAATATTGGAAAATCATGATGGTAACAAATTCAACAAACATTTGGACACATGTGATAAGAAATCCTTGCACATTACCAAGTGGTTTGCCCTACGGCAGATTGACATTTATTCCATTACGCTAACAGATGCTACGGTGTCAGTTCTGAAGACGGTAGTTCCACAGAAGCAGTTGAGGTGTATCCCTTTGGCTTGTCTCCTTTGGAATATATCTCCGTAGGGAACATCTCGGAGACACCCTGGATAAAGCCCTAATTCCATTTAACCAGCAGGAAACACAGACAGCACGCACGCATTAGCTTCCAAAGTGACAGGTTATCCAGATTAAATCCACAGACATGAGGCGGTTTCCATGGTAACGATGAGATTGTCATTCCATAGTGATTTCACATCCACTCCATAATACTCCAACACCACAGTGTTCTTGGTCGATCGCAGCTTGAAAAAATATATATACTTCACACAGTAGCAACCGCTTCACTTTTACATGGCATCTGTGTCTACATACAAAAGGGTTCCATCTTTTATCTCAGAGAGTTTGTAGAGATGGATGTATTTCCAGTTTGTGCATCATTCTGACTATAAGAATTATATACAGGTTATTTAGGGTTCTCTCTCTCTCTCATCAGTTTGGCTTTCTTCTGTGTAAAGCAACGCTCTTCTTTATCATAACTGCTCCTCCAAGCACATATCCATGGCAACAAGAGGATGGTCGATTTCAAACGATGATGATAACATCCACATGGTCTCATTGCACTATGAACTATTTCATATTGAAACAAAACTGAGGCATGGCCAACTTCAGATGAAATGAATTCGCACATCTTCTGCCATGAATTAAATAAGCATCAACACTTTCATCTATTCCATTCAGTGCAGCTATGCCGATTCAAGAAAGCGTCTATAAATATACTTCACAATCTGCAACTTGTACTATGAGTTGGGTTAAAGAGCTACTTCGGAGAGAGAGCCTGGTATCAAAAAGACTAGATGTAGAGCGCCCTCATTATTCACTTCTAAGGGAGTTGGAAGATGACGAAGGTTGATTCCGAAAGGCCTCAATTGGACTCGAGACGAGTTGATGAGTATAGGCTGCAATGATTGAAAACAAACATACAATAATTGGTTTCGTGATCATCAGCATGTATGGTTGAATTAATACAATTTCTGGCATTAATAGTTCTGGGAGATAATGCTGATCAGTGGCGTCGCTATGGGAGGGGGGGGGGGGGAGAGGAAGGGGGGGGGTCTCCATCCCCCATGAAAGAGCAAACACATGCTACTCAATTCACAATTCCTATTGAGTACCCATTTGGCCCCTGGGTGGAGAGGAGCAATGCAAATAAAATGCCTTGCTCAAGGATGCAAGTGCTGTACCAGGGCTTGAACCCGCGACCTTTGCATTCCCAGTCAAGGGATTAAACCACCCCACTTCGACACCTCAACAATGGATACACCATTTTTAGTAAACAATAGCCAATTCATGCTTAAAGTGACAGGTTATTGTTTACCTCTGTTTTGCTGCTGCTATCTGTGGCTTTTAAAATCAATAGCAATTTAGGATTCAGATCAGGCATGTGCCATTGCTTTTTCAACATGAGTCATAAGCATGACAGAGGCATACATTAGCCCCGTGCCGGCCTTTAGAGTATTGAATACCTTTTAACGAGGCTTGGACAGCTCACATGTTGTGAAAATTTGATATTGATTCTGCCAGAGGGGAGAAAACGTTGAACGGTGGGGTAGCATTTAACATACCGGGTAATAGCTTGAAAGACTTCCATTATGTATTTTCCATTTGTAACTGCATAATTTGTGACCTATTGCAGATCTCCCAACTAACATTTTTGAAATGTAAATGTATGTGTTGAGTGCTGCCTATTGAAATGTTTGTATCACTGGGGCTTTTCCCTTGCATGTTATCATGTGATCCTTCATTGTGACATCACAGTTTTCCCTCTACAGTAGCAACACAAGAAATAGATCACCCTTTTGCACTAAACAAATCTTCAGGCTCTTTTTTAAAAATGTCTAATCACATGATCTAGATAACTCATTGTTACATAGAAGGGCATTTTGCCAAACATCAGAGTGTAACAAATAGATCAGTCACAAAAAGGATTGACCTTGTCAGACAAGGTTTGTATAGAGAGTGAAAATAGATAAAGGGAAATGGTAGAACCTGAAAAGCAATTTCCAATAGATACTGTAGCATTAACAGGTCTATAGACATGCAACATGAGGATAAAGCATGGCATAATGAAGGGAAGGGAACTAAGGAGATGACTCGGCAATGTTATGATACATTTAGCAAATCATCCAAAGAGCCATGTATTTGGATATGGGGTATCACTCTAATGAGATACTTTTCGATTCAATCTTTGGAGGAAAAACACAACATTATGTCTTGTTTAAAGCACAGCATGCTGATCAACAGAAGGAAACAAATTAAGTTGGGTGATGACATTTAAGTAAATGGGGGGGGGGGGGTTAAGGAAGTTTAGAAG